AAATATTTTTAGGATTTAGAATTTTAAGATATATGTTTTATAAATCTATAATTAGTGGCATTTTTGCAAATGGGCACCCCTAAGTGGCATTCTTGCAAATGTCCACACAAAAAGTGACATTTTTGTAATTGCCCCAAATACAATTATCAATCATGTACTTATATGATGGTTCACAACATTATTTTAGTTTTTATGAGGTTACTAATATAAAATTTACTATTTTCTGATTTAACTATATAATATTTTAATTATTTTTATTTTCTATCACATAAATATTCATAATGGGTTAAAATATATATTTTCTCTATTATTAAGAATATGATTTAAACTCCGATGATATATATTTTTGGATTTACATGATATGGATTAAGACATGTGAATTATGATATAAATTGACATCTATTGGTTTTAATATTCATGTTAAATAGTATGTATTTTAAAATTCAAGGGGTTACTAATTGAAATAGTATGTATTTAGTTCGTTAGTTTTTATTGTATTTACCCGCATATTAACGCGGATCCTATTCTAGTATCTATAATCCATTTTTGTTATTATTTTTCAGTCGAAATCAAATAAAAATTCGTCCAAAAATACAAACCCGACCCGATGCCCAATGGGACCCGACCTTACCCGTACTAATATCTGAATACTCCGAGCGGGAGACTAATCTTAAAGCAAGTCTTGGTCACAAGTTTCTCCATTTTTCCCGGCATTTATACGCAGGAGACTACTCAAACTTCGTCTTCTTCACGCGTTTTGAGTCGTATCCCAATTTTTCCCGGCATTGACTTGACCCAACCCCACCCGACCCGATTCTTCCGAGTCAGAAAACTATCTTAAACCGGATAATACTGACTTCGTCTTCCCCACGCGCTCTAATGGCGACTCCTTCTTCTCCGGTGAATCTGTGGGTAGTCTTATCGGAATCGAAACGTATAATCAACGCTCACGCACGTCACTTCCTTGCTCTCTCCGTCCTCTTCCTTCTTCCAATCTCCTTCTCCGTCACAGTCTACCCTTCCGTCATCCGCTTCATTACCGATCAATCCACCGTCTCTTTCCTCCGCTCCGGCGACGACGACCAACAACCCCCTGTTCCCGATTTCAAGATGGTGGCTCTGCTTCTGATTGCTTACGTCATCATCGTCACCGTCCTCAATCTCTTAGCTATTGGATCAATCGCTTATAGCGTATTCCAAGGATTATGTGGAAGACCTGTGAAGTTGATCTCAGCTGTGAAATCAAGCTTATCTTCGTTTTTCTCTCTTCTCGCTACTCTAATCACTACGTATTCAATCGCTTTGGGGGGTTTTTCTGATTATAGGGTTTACTGCGTTCTTATTGACAAAGCTAATCCCAAGTCTTGTTGAAATCAGTGTCTTTGTTGGTCAAGCTTCTAGAATATCTTGAAGCCCAAGACATCTAACAAGTTGGTTAGATTAAGATAGTGTAAAAAGGAAATTGTC